AAACCTATAACATATGTTAAATATATAAGTTAAGGTAACTAAACTGCAGTCTCCTTCGTAGGATGCTGGGAATTATTTATTATCTTGAAAACTGGTAAGTAGAGGAGATAAAAAGCAGCTATTACTTTGCCTTTCCTATCTGAATTGTACTGCTAACTAAACACCAAATTAGATAAAGAGAAGTATCTTTTTATAGAACTATTCTAACTGGCAAGTGAAGAAGAAATGAGAGAATTTAAATATTTTACAGCTCATGATAAATTAATAGATCTAGGTGTTGAGCATCAATGTCTACTACCAAGTCACAAAGGCAGACAGACAATAGGACATCTAGAGCCTCTGACACTCCACCCTCCATTGTCTTCCCACGGAGATCAAACCTGAGTCTCATGAAGCTTCCACACACATTACCAGTGTGTGGGAAACATGGAGAACAGAGGAACATGTTGAGCAATATCAGGAATAAACAATCAACATAATCCATATTTTTGCTCAAATACTGAGTTCTTCAGCAGATAGACTGTATGGAAAATAAAAGTGTAGAGGGGAAAACTGCAGGTTTAAAGAGATTTAAAAGACATATGAAAGGTTTGTTAACGCACAAAATTAAACTAGTGGTTAGGCATGCTAATTGGTTAGAAAGTCTGTAAAATTACAGAAGGAAGTAACTTCTAAAGTCAGTATAAGCCAGACATGGTGGCCCACACCTGCTATCCCCTGCTACTCTAGGGGCTGAAGCAGGAGGGAACACAAGTTAAATTCTAGCCTAAGAAACTTAGAGAGACCTTGTGCAAAAAATAAAAAATAAAAGCAGTGGAGATGTAGCTCAGTGCTGGAATATTTGTCTAGCATCCAAGAGACTCTGACTCCAGTATCATCAACAAATAACAAACAGAACCAGTATAGTTGTTACTTTCAGGAAGAGGGAGACATTTGTGATCACCACAGATTACATGGAGGCCTTTTGATGCAGGTAATACAAAGAGGCTTTAATATTGACAATGTGCAAATATATCTTTTGGCCTGACAACTGCTAAAAATTTGTATATAAGATGAATTCCTCCAAATATACAAAGATAGGTGCTTCTAGTACAGCATCTTTTTTTTTTTTTTTTTTTTTTTGATACTGGGAATCAAACTCAGGACCTTACACTTGCCAGGCAGGTGCTGTGCTGCTAAGCTCTATCTCCAGTCAGCATAATTTTTAGTAACTAAGGCATTCAGGGTGGAGATGGAAATAAATGCCTATTAGATGAAGACTCTTAAATCAAAGTACATCTGCCCACTGGAATATTACACAGCCAAAGAAACTGAGAACGTCAAAGATAAAAGAACACACTAAGCTGGGGATAGTAGCGCACACCTGTAATCCCACAATTTGGAAGGCTGAAGCAGAAGGATCATTGTAAGTCAAAACTAGTCTGGGCTACAAAGTGAGCTCAAGACCAGCCTGAACTGTATAGCAAAATGTTGTCTCAAAAAAAACAAAACAAAACAAAAAGTACACACTGTAGAATATTATTTTGATACCAATGTTAAAAAGAAAATACATGTTTTATTTGTGTTGAAAATATTTAGAAGGCTAAGAAACTGTTATACTCACTACTTCTTGAGGTGGGGTAGAATTGGAGATAGGATGTAAGTTTGCTTGTCCCTTTTCGTTTATTTTTGTTTTATAATTTTTAAATATTATAAATTTCAGGCTTAAATTTTTTGAAAAATTATGGCCTTAAAATATAAAATAAAACAAAAAATTATGGCCCTTCACAGTCATCTCATACAATGAAGGGAATAAAAAATTTTGTTAAAGGAAAAAAGGACTAAAACTCCTTTAATAAGAAAGTGGAGTCAGCACCTTTTTTAATAGATTGTTACAAAGCAGATAAAGGCTGCTCTTGGAAATTCCAAGTCTTAAAAATTTTCTCCTTCTGCTTTTGGATACGTATGCAAGTATTTCAGACGCTTGGCTTCTGAAGTAATACAGTCAAGGACTGCATTTCACAGTGATGCCTGCTATCACAGTAGATTCACAACAAATATAGTTGTAGCCATTTATTTAGCTATTGTGGGGAATCTATTGTATGTAGGACAAACCTTAGTACACTCAAGATACAACAAACATGGCAGATAAAGTTCCTGCCCTCATAGAGCAGACATGCCAAACAAACATGTGAATGAATACTTCATTAATTAAAATAATTTTCTTATTAGCTAAGATGGTCTGGATATCTCTGGCATAGAAATCATGCAAACAAACAAAACCCTTTAGTGATAAATACAAGAGACACACACACACCATATAGATTTTTTGAGCACTTTCTAAATTTTAACAATAACAATGTTTTATTACTTTGTTATAAAATTAAGATTGATGTAATAGGCAGCCTTGAAGATGATTCTCATATTAGTTTCCTGGTATTCAAACCCACACAAGATTCCCTCCTCTTGAGTGTAAGCTAGCCCCAGTGACTTGATTCTAATACCTAAAACCCTGAAAGTGATGGGATGTCAATTGTGAGATTAGGTTGCAGAAGATCATTTAACTTCTATCTTTCTTGCATACTCACCTGCTTGGAGACAGGCCAATGGCACTACATTGGGAGCTGAGAAGCCCTTATGGTTTACAGCCTCTGGCCAACAACCAGTGAGGAGCTGAGGTCTTCAGTCCAACAGCCCATGAGGGATTGAAAGCTTACATGAGCTAGGTGATGGATCCTGCCCTACTTGGACCCTTGGGATAACTGTAATACCCCAGCTGACATCTTGATTGCAATTGCTCAGTGCTCAGCAGGAGCACTAGTTAAACTGCACCTAGATTCCTAGCAGAAACAAGAATGTTGTCATCTTAAGCTTTTAGGCTTGAGGTTGTTACACAGCAACTTATAGAATTACGATGGTTGACTAAGCCATCCTTACCATCCTCCCTTTTTTAAGAGTTGAAAAATTTACTGGAGAAAAGGAACGGGGAATAGGAATAGCTCCTGAGACAGGAGGGGCTCCGAATAGGTTACCTCATCATTCCCCTTTGGGAGTAAGCCATACAAGGGTAGATACTTAACTTTGAGAGTGTTACCTGGCACACAGATAGATGTGGCAAGGTTGTCATGTCATTTTGCTTTTTTTCAACGATGATCTTACCCCAGAAGACTCTTAGTCAAAATTTATATTCCCTACTCTGTTACGGTTGATACCTTGTGTCAATTTGAGAAGTTTAGAAGTTTAACTGATTTAGCAGGGGGCCAAAATCCTTACTTTATAAACATCCAGAGCCTGTGCAAAAGGAGGACAAGGAGGTGTAAGCGCTATACCTGCCCTGAATACAATATAAGGAAGAAATAGAGACTTGTGCTTCCTCTTTTTTGCTCTTACTGCTTTTGAAATGTTGCCTCTGTGCCAAGCCACCCTGGTTTGGAGCCAGCTGGTTATGGACTGAAACCTCCACAAACTGTGAGCTAATTTCCTTCCTTAATTTTGGGAGTCAGGTATTTTGTCTCAGCAACTAGAAAAAAGTAACCAAGACACTCCTCAAAAGCTTTTTTTTCCCTTCCCTTTTCTGAGTTTTTCAAACTTGTATTTTATTAGAAAACTTTAATTTGAAAGCAATTTTGGTGAGAATCATCCTGGACTTTATTTTATATGCTTATAATTATCTTCTATGCACCTCTGCCTTTCTTTACATCTGTATTTCTTTACCTTTCTGTAGAACTTTTTTTCATCCTTCCTTCAGCTTTTGGCTGGAGGATAAGGTTCAGTTTGAATGAGACCTTGTGTTGCTTCCATTTTCAACATTTTTTTCCTAGAACTACATTTTTAAAATATTAAGGCCATTGCCCTGAACACTTTGCATGACTTTTTGTTTCTTGTTGAATGAAACAGTTTAAGAAATACATCATGTGATTACTTTTAGGGATTTCTATTGGGAGACTCTTGAAATACTTCTTGTAGAAATTTCAGATTAGTTAGCTCATTGAACAAAGTGAGTAATCCAAATTTAGGATTGAATTAGAGGGTGAAACCTCCCCTTTCCCCACAGAGTGCTGATCTCTTGTTTAACTAAGTGAACATAAAAGGATCAGAGGAAAGGAAAGAATTTTTTAAGTACCATTCTAATACTGCCCCCAAGTTCTGAGAAGTTTGGTATGAAATACAAAGTGATCTGTAGGTTATTTTCACTTAAGACCATAGGTTTTCTAAATTACCAAAAAGAAGAAAAAACAGAAGGAGACAGCTGGGGGTGGGGGCAGGACAGGGGAAGAGTAGGGAGAAGAGAAGGAAGAAATAAAAAGGAATAACAAAAAAACCCAACACATTGTTTTTCCTCCTAAAATATTTAATAAGAGAAGAAAGGCACAGCAGGATAATAGCTTTAAAGGAACATGGCAATTACTTATGTCTTCTACCAAAAGGAATAGATATAGGAGATAATGTTAAACAAATGCTTTCAGAGATCAAAAAAGCTGTCATTTCCTGTCCTAGGCTTTCATTTGCACTGAATAAATCCCTTTCCAGTCATAGCAGAGTCTTAATATTATAACATATCATTCACCATCAAACCACAGCAGCAGCAACAACAACAAATACAACTGCTTAAAAGATATTTAAATTTTTGTTTTGTTTTACTACCAACTTCAAAAAGAGACATGGCCCCAAAAAATTAAAACCCAAAGACCAGGTCCTCTTGTCATATGGTGTGACTTTAAATTGCCCTTCTGGTATCAGATGTTACTGGGCATGAAAGATAGTCCTTTCCAACCTTGAAAAAATTATTCAGAGACATAGGAAAGGACACATGATGGATTTTGAGGTATCAACAGTCTTTCTTAATAAAACATGTGCCATGGGAAAACATGGAGCCCAGAACGAGCTGGTAAGGGGTAAAAGAGGACAAAAATGCTGACAAATGCCAACCCTCTGTGCATTCAACCCCAGTAACAAGATTCATCTGGGCTTAGTTTCAATAAATAACAGACACAAATTAAATAAACTAATGGTCAACTCACCATGATAGCACCTTAAGATCTTTAAAGTATAATTCCGATTAATCTTGGAACCCCAATCCCACTGGACTGTTGGAAATTGAACACTGATATTGAGAGGGTTCTGCAGGGATCAGGTGACTTCCGAAGGACTAGAACAACTGGTAGCTCTTCTTGTCACTAGACCACATAGATGAGTCCCAAACGTAGGTTCTTTGGGGATTCATCCCTTTGCTGTTTTCTAGAATAGAAGGACTTTAGCAAAGATCCCAGCCTCCTGGAGGCATATAATATAGCAAAGGGTGCTGCCAATACATTCTTGTTATCTCTGGAATTTTAGTTCTTTCTAGTTTGAGAAAATATGGCTCTCTTCAAATCTGAGTCTTCTGTTAGCCTCAAATCCTGTTCTTCATTGACAAGGCAGAAACATTCAGCCACAAACCTCCTATGGGGCAAAGACACAGAGAATCAGCTAGAATGGAAAAGGGAAAGAAAGAACACAAACATATACTGCAAAAGTTTTTCTCAGAAGAATTTTCTAAAATGAAATTCCTTTCATTGTAATGCTCATTTTAAAGTTGAGGCCACCAAGACTTGGGCATAATGACCAATGCACAACTTGATAATGACAGTGTTGAGTCTTTCTACTATATCATAGTGCCTCATTTTTCTTTTTTTTTGTCTTTTTCGTTTTTATCGGTACCAGGGATCGAACTCACGACTGCCTGCTTGCAAGGCAGGCGCTTATGCCGCTGAGCTAAATCCCCAGCCCCAGTGCCTCATTTTTCTAATTTCCAACTTCTGTTTTAGTCTAAATCTGCTTTGTTCACTGAGACTTCAGTTTCTGTACCAAGAGTTTTAGACATATTTAGAATCATTTTTTAAACATGTTGATCCACTCAGAGTTGATTTGCTTGTGATAGCAATAATTAATTATTCCATTCTGGGATACAACCAGCAGGATGAGGATTCAGGAATAAATCATACTATGTTCCATTCTTCCTGACAAAGCCTCAGGGCTCCAGCCAATTCCTCTTGTGGCAATGACACACAGGGACTGGATGTTTGTGTGCAGCTGAGTCTTTGGTCTTTCTCATCATCAGCTGACAAGCCATGTCTTTCTCCCATGGTTTTTGATAACTGTGTCTCATTTTGAGAATAATCATTACTGCAACAACATGTTTCAGTGCCAAACACAGGAATGCCCTTGGGCTTCCTGGTTATGTCATATGGTATAGGCCTGGTTTAAAATTTTCTCGTATTCTTCTAATAATGAATTTCAAGAAAACAGGATGTCCCTTGAGATTTATAATTCAGGCATACATACAGGTATTGGCTAACTTGGTTAGACATAATCAACAGCCTTTTTTTTTGTTTTTAAGACAATCTGGCAGAAAAGAGTTGGATTGTTGTGGGAGTTGCATGAACCCTTCCAGCACTTTTCTGTCCAGTCTATTAATCAGCAGAATAGCCAAAGGAACACAGTATTTCATTGCATCACAAAAAGGTCTGTGGCTGTGAGCAGGAATAAATTTCTATCACTCCAGTTCTGATTGATTAATGTTGAAGTCGTCGCTAAATAATGATTACCAGTTCCCAAATTCACAAGTGACTCTGTGGATGAATAAGACCCAAGTGAAACGAAGTCTGTGAACACAGACTTCTTGCAGTGGAGGGCAGAGGTGTGGCAATGGTGAAGGACAGGGATGAAACATGAGATATGGCTAAAGTAGTGAAGAGAATACTATCAGAGAATGGGACTCTGAGGTCTTCCCTTCTGCATGTGGCTGCTTCTGACCATCTCTCATTCACCACCTCTCCACAGTCAGGTTACTCTGCCTTGTCACCCACAGTCCCTACCTACCACACCCACAACCCCTTTTCCTGTGTTTCACTGCCTTCTCAAATGACTTTAAACCTCCTCTCTTTTAAGCCTTTATTACCCTAACTCTCCAGCTCTCAATTACCCCCACTTACTTGTGTATTCCGTGTGTCTCTATCTGTATCTCTATCTTTTAATGGCTCACATGTGCAGGAATCTTTCTGTGTATAGAGAGAACGTTCCATTTACACATAGGTTAGATGACCTTTCCAAAACTGTTGAGTGTATTCTATTAATCCTGGACACAGAGTGGATAGGCTATTAGAGTGCAAGAATGCTTGAACAGTGTAAGATTTAAATATTGCTTTGCTGTGTGTGGTTCTTTGAGACATATCCAAATAACTAATGGCAACTGTTTTTTGTTTTGTTTTGTTTTTTAAGTTTTAAGGAAGCTCTGGTTGCTCTGCTGTCACTATTGTTGAATGTCAAGTTTTGGCAGCTCTCCGCTTTATAGAAGATGCTTCTGTCGATGCACTTTTGTGAAGTCTCTATAGAACCAATCTACACTGGGCCAAAACATGATTAAAATTCTTACTGTCTCTTTTTGGTTCTGTGTTTCCATTTGTTGGAAATATATCTGCCTGTCAATATTGGATAGAATTGCGCCTTTTGGATACTACAAATTCAGGGTTTCACTTCAACAATGCCAGCATTCATCATTTTTAAGCCTCCAACTTTTAAGAAAGGGAAGCTATTGAATTATATTGCATTTTAAAGTAGAAATGGCAAAATTACATAGCTACAGATTTGCAGTACTATTATTTATACTTTTTATAAATTTATACTCCCCAAAATGGGCTCCTCCTAACTTTACACCTGTATACTCGTCTTAAGCTGTTTGTAATCCATTCTCTAACCTCAAACCACTTTAGTTTTTGCCCCAGGAATTCTGAATGATTACTGTTATACAGAAATTTACAGTAGTTTAAACTGAAACAAAATGTTTTGAAATTCAGGTAGACATAAATTATTCTTATTACTGTGAAGAAAAGACTTTTAGTTTCAACATCTTTTACTGGAAAGTTTTTGAATTTTCTAGATATGACTCGTAAAGACTCATGAATTAGAATTTCACAAGAGAAAAATCATTTTGGTGAAAACTTTTTAATGCAAAACAGAAAATCACAAAAGCAATTAAGTGAACTTCTCTAGAAATTCATCTACAACTTGAGCAAATGAAACCCACTAAACTTGTAGAAATCAAACATGCATGTTTACCATTTAGTTTCTAGTACAGAGTTCTTTTTATTTTCCTATGGATTTGTTTGTAGAAACGATTATTTTGAAATGCTATTTTAACTTGGGATATCAATGATCTGATTTAGGTAATACAGTACAGAGGGTACTGGGTAGGAACCTGATGGCTTCGGTTTTACTCTTACAATGCTATATACTTACCAGGTTTATGACTATGATTGTGTCTCACTGACACTCTGGACCTCTGTTTTTTTAATCTGGCCCGTGGGAATAAGAAATACTTGATCTCTTTGTCTCTTAATTACTGTGGGGCTCAGATAAAGTCCTAGCTGTAAGAATGCTTTGAAACTATAAAGCTGTAGAATATAAGACATTCTATTCATTATTACCTCAGGATGCCTCTCAGATTACATTGCCTCAAATTTATTATTTAGGAAAAGTACAAACTTGAATGCCATATGGAGTCCTTGTTGACACTGCAGATGTTGTTTAATTTTAGATTCTAAAAGAACAAAAGAATAGAAATTCTACTAGGCAAATCAGCCTCTCTTTAGTTTTTTCTTCAAAGTCTCCTATTATCCAAATAACAAACTAAAAATGGCAGGCTAAATATTATAGAAAATTACATCATTTGAAACATTGAAATTCTGTATATCCAAGCCCTTTTGCAGAACATGAATTTATTCCCCCCTCAAAGCACAATGCCAATGAATTTAATGCTATAAGATTTTTTTTCAGAGTAAGTAAAAGGATCTAAAAATTAAACTTTAATTTTGAATAACATAATTGGGGGAAACATTAAAATCTCAGAAGGACCACAAAAAGATATGCAATTCACTTAAATGTCTGAAGTCTTTCTTGAACTGATGGATAAAGAACCTAAAAGCTCACCAAGTCTTGGAATCTGATTCTGAAGATCTGGTCATATTTATAAGAGGGAATTTCTCTGCAAACTAACAGGTGTAACCTAACCAATGTACACATACTCATGACAACTGCTCTTATGGTTCCAATCATTTGGAAGACCTGTTCTACTCTCGTGTGCCATCTGTATAAGACATTTCTTTTCAACTTGTCATCTCCCTCTCTCTGCTTACACAGGCATAAACAAGAGGTAGGTGTTTCTGTAAAATATATAGATGACATCTGTCACTTTATCTTTTGTTTGCATACCTCTCATTTGAAAAATATACACTAGAGCAAGCTGAGCATTTTGTGTTTTAAAATTGAAAAAATTGTGGAAGCATAATGGATATGGGGGTAACAAAGGAAACCTTGTAGCAACTAGATTACCTAAGGCATTTAAAATGGCCCAGTTGGTATTCTGAGCCTATACTTTTAATGCCATTTTCCAGAGAAAATTCAGTTTCAAGACTGCCACATACATATTAGGGTCTTAAGACAGTGACACAATGTCACTCTAATTAAAGGCTAATTTTTGAACAGAGGCCATAAATGTTTTGCCTATAAAAACTTGTTCTTGGGGCTGGGGATTTAGCTCAGCAGCATAACCGCCTGCCTTGCAAGCAGGCAGTCGTGAGTTCGATTCCTGGTACTGATACAAAAGAAAAAGACAAAAAAAAAAAAAATGTTCTTCAGCAAGGCATAATAACACATGCCTGTAAGCCCAGCATTCTAGGAGGCTGAGCAGGAAAACCACAAATTAAAGCAAGCCTGGGTGATTTAGTGACTTAGTGAGATACTGTTTCTAAATAAATAAATAAATAAATAAATAAATAAATAAACAAGCAAGCAAGCAATAAAGATGTAGCTCGTTGTGAAGGCCTTAGGTTCAATCCCCAATACTACCAAAAAGACAAGCAAACCAGACGAAAAGCACCTTGTTTGTCTAAAAGAGCTAAGAACTGCAGAAGATATTTTAACCTTTACTTTAGTGATGTAGTAGATACTATATTGTGATAGTTAACTGTGTCAACTTGAGTAAGACACTTAATTGACTCAAGCATAGTTCTGGGTGTGGAAGACCCACCATGGGGGACTGTCACCAGAAGAGTATAAAGGAGAAATGAAGAAGGAATGCTCCCTTCTGTTTCTTCTGATGAGCTCGTCTTCACCTTCACTTTGGACATGGTCTTCAGCCTCCAATACAGACCATGTGGCCTCCTGATATGAACTCACAGGGGACACTACAGTGAACTCCAGTCCTATGGAAGGATCTCCAGCACACAAGTAGCCTTTTCTCACTTTCCCACACCTGACTGTGTGCAAAACTGTGTGTGTAAAAAATCTTGTAAATTCTTATGTATTTGTACCTCTTGCATTAAATCTATTTCTTTAATAAATACTGATACATATATATTTTGAAATTTACTCTTGTGTGGATTAGAAATATTAAAAGTAAATCC